CCACTCTGAGTTGGGCATGGAAAACAGCACTCTCTTCGGCAAACGATGGTTCGGCATACGTAACACATGTCCCAACGAACGCAGCTTCTGGTGCTGGACACATTCTTCAATGGAAGTATCCGCTGCACAACCGAAAATACGCTTTCTAACTGCCTCGTTACGGATTCGCCGACACCAACCCACATGACTTGGCCTATTCGAGCAGCGGACCTGAGACGTCTTCAGGTTTTCGACAATCGTTGTCTCAGAACCATAGCTCGTGTGGGTTGGTGTCGGCGAATCCGTAACGAGGCAGTTAGAAAGCGTGTTTCGGTTGTGCCCGAAGAGAGTGCTGTTTTCCATGCCCAACTCAGAGTGGCGTAAACAGACAGCTGGCCAAACCTTGACTTGGCAGAGGAGTATGAAGGAGATCACGAAACGCTTGGGTGCTGTCGGTGCTACTCGCCTTCCAGGATGGGGACCGCGTGATCCTCACTGTGCGTGGTTGGAGACACTACAAGATATGGCTGCCAACCGATGTCAGTGGCGTTCTTGTTGTCAGTTTCTGTCCAGATTGCCTGAGTGAGCGTCTGGATGTATAGACACCTCGGAATGATTGTGTTAAGCTATCACTAAGTCCCTTCCCCGTCCACCTTTATTCTTTTCTTAACAATGAGGCTTTCAAATAAATCATGGTTGTATGGCAGTCATCGATCGGTGTTGAACACTGATTTCATGCTATCGATGATGATGATGGCCAATTTCTGCTAGAGTACTTTTTAAGGCTGGCACCAAATTCATCACGATGATGATGATGGCCAATTTCTGCTAGAGTACTTTTTAAGGCTGGCACCATCCAAATTCATCAGTTCCTCTGTGTACTGGCTTCGATAAGATGAGAAAACTTGGTTTTATTGGAAAAGCATCTGTAGTTAGAAGTTCAGGAGTTTTTCAAATTCCATTGTCGAGCGCACCATGTGAAGCTGGCACCATTCGACAGGTGGACTATCGTGGACTATCGATTGACAGATCAAGAGATGGGTCAATCAACCACTGGCTATACTATCCAGGATTGGTGTCATGGTGAAGGAAATAGGTGGAATATGTGATTTGATAGGGTACATCATAACGTGTAGGTACCGACAACTGTCAGGCGATAGTAAACAAGAGTGTACAGAGTCTTCACAGCCGACAGACACCTCACAACAGCATCGACCCTAAAAAAGCAGGTAACATCCAATACTTCTTTCCGTCAAACCGTGCAGACCACAACGATCGATAACGAATTGCGCTCATCTGACTACACTCTGAAAATGAATTTCGCAGTAAGATAAGGCTCTATTAGTTTGGATAGCAGAATAACTATTACCAACTTCCGAAATTGCTGAGTTAATGAGCTAAATGGTCCCAAGGTATAGAAGACAAACCCCTAAGGGTAACAGATCATCTGCTCATCAGCATATTTGAGGTGAATCATCTAATGTGAACAACCTACGAGCCTAGAACAGCCTTCAGAGACACAAACAGCTGGACTATCGGAGAAGGATGCAGTGCGCCGGAGCAGAGCAACCACGCGGGAACAAAAGAATGACTGAGCAATTGCAGCTCGTATGGTATCAGCTGGTTCGTCTTCTTCCTAAGGGGCAGCCAAAAGACAACGAGAACAACATGGTTTCAATGCACAACCGAAGCCAATGGTCCACATGTTACGTCGCCTGCCGGCGACTTAAGACCAAGTAGGCGAATGCGAAACCATACAGCCAGCTGGTCTCAGAAAAGAAAGCTCGAAACGCTATTTCAGCCATAAACCATGCACGAAGATTCCATCCACCATAGCCTTTTGTTTACAGATGATGACTCAAATGGTTAGAGCGCGAATTTACCAACCAGAAGGTCCATGGTTCGAACCCGACCTCTGCCTCTCGACTTCCCCTGTCTAAACTTGGGCAACCTGGCAGTATCTCAGCCTTCGTACTTCCTTCGGGTGGCATGGCAGCTAGGCACCGAAAGGGTGTTACAGCTGAACGATTCGATTTTATACAAATGACCGAAGAACAGGATATGAGATGGCCACTCACTGGAGGAGTGAACCAATCAAAGATAGTCAGAACGGGTGAAAAGAGATTGGTTTCGGGTACGAATACGGAACAGTTCGTTACTTGTGAATAGCCGAACATGGAAGACGGTAGGTGTGTTTCAAAAGCGTGATCGAATAAGTGACTCAGTCATTTGGTTCAATGATTCTAACCAGTTGTGTGTTTCGTAGAGGGTATGTTACTAATTCCACTGGCCGACACGAGTGAAATAATATATCAGCAGCGCTTAAAGGTTGGCGTTGAGATTCACGGAAGAAAGAACAGTGAAGCTAGTAACTTGAGGACGAAGTCTACTCAGATACTTCAAGCAGGCAGCTGACAACCCGTTCTGTAAAGGCCAAGAGAAAACCTGAGAGACTGACGAAAACGGGTTACTCTCAGGGTGTACGTTCTGTATTGTTCAGCTGTAGCATCCTTTCGGTGCCAACTGTCATGTTACTAATTCCACTGGCCGACACGAGTGAAATAATATATCAGCAGCGCTTAAAGGTTGGCGTTGAGATTCACGGAAGAAAGAACAGTGAAGCTAGTAACTTGAGGACGAAGTCTACTCAGATACTTCAAGCAGGCAGCTGACAACCCGTTCTGTAAAGGCCAAGAGAAAACCTGAGAGACTGACGAAAACGGGTTACTCTCAGGGTGTACGTTCTGTATTGTTCAGCTGTAGCATCCTTCCGGTGCCCAACTGTCATGCCACCCGAAGAAATCACGAGGGCTGGGATACTGTCAGGTTGCCCAAGCCTAGACAGGGCTCAAACCGCGGACCTTCAGGTCAGTAAATTCGCGCTCTAACCACTGAGCCATCTCGCCTCCAGGTTAAGAGCAGTTATTATTGCGCTTTTGCTGGTGTGAACAGCATGATAAAGTGAATAGCTGAATTATTCGGGTTAATCAAAACAGCTCCAATTTGCCAAGAAACTGGTTTTTTATCATGCCTAAAAATGGTGGATCCAAATAACATATCAACCGGAAAATTGGCGAGAGACGACAGGCCTGGGTGATAGTAACAAACACGCCGAATAGGATAGAATGTCGGTAGCTCAGGTCGTTGGGTTGTTCGCTGTCAATGCCCAATCGAATCGCCCAGCTCAGCGAACAAACCAACGACCATATGCCAGTCAACCGCACGCTCGTTTGCGTTCATGGGAGTTAGCAGTTGATACGACACCAGGTACTGTAGGAGTTTCCGGTGATCAACCAAGGCGCTGTCCAAGCACAAACCTCAAGGTAAAGATGTGTCTGAGGCGAAAGCTAGCTAGATCTTTCGGAATCTGATTCAAACCACTGGACCATTCAATCTCTTGAATGCCAACCCAAACACAATAAATCACGATGCGGCGTGCGATACGATTAGGAAATGTGACCTATTCACTTTCTTACTAACTTGTTCGCTTGTGCATCTGTCTCCGTCAATGCATGTGCGAGCAGAAACAAAAAGTTCGTCGAAAATGAAGCTATACCAGGTACCATCGGTAATCAATAAATGTCAACCAGCGCTCCACGGACTTCAGACGAACTAAAGAGGTAAACATGGCCACAAGGTTGAAAAACACATGATCGCTTAGCCCAACTTACAGCATGATAAACTCCAGTGTGTGCGCTTTCAGCTGGTCCGCGTTGTGCATATCGGCCAAACCAAGGATATCACAACAATTTTCCACGGACAAGCTTTCGACCAAAGCCTCTTCACACATGGTCTTCAGTCGTTCCAGTTGATACTGCGGATATAAAGTGGGGGGTGTGTGTTGTCAAACGAGTGAGTGCAGTAGAATCAAAATGCGTGTGGAACCCAAGGTCAGCACGATAAAGATCGATAAAATTCCGGAGAAGGAAAGGATTCGGTCTGACCGGTTTGATTATGAGCTACACATTGGATATGCCTGGGAGTTTTTGTCTGTTTAGCGAGGGGCACAAAGCCTTAAACTTATCAGTAATATACACCCCAGTTTTCCAGTCACCTTTTCCTATTACTCACTGTCAATTCGTACTTAACTTGATGTAGCTGGCTGTTCCATCAGAACAAGCCGGTTTCAGCAATTAACAGCGTGTCATCATCATGGTCATCATAGACAGCGTGCTTCGCTGCCATGTTAGAGTAGCTGATGAACTTTGTTTTTCGTGGATGGGGGACGTCTCTTACTAAATTCCCATTCGCGATCTAGAGTATCTGTCCGAAAGTGGTGCTGGACGCACTCTGCCATACTACCTTGATGGGGGGATAGATAAGATGAGAGTGATTGAAACGTTTTAACCTTAGGGAAACGCCAGACAGTGAGCATGTGAAGGTAAACTCAACGAATAAGATAGCTAACAATCATTGGGGCGGTTCAGCTCGGCTGTTCTCTCTATGTTCAGCCTAACCGCATTTAAGCGTGCAAAACCTGGAGATGCGTGTTTGAAGAAATAAAGACACAGACCACCGAGGTTATCGTCTGGGGAAGCACCACTGTCCCATTCACAGATAATCCAATTCGTCTGAGTCTAATTCACATTTAGAAACACATTTCGAGGTACCTGATAGCAAACGTTTCGAACTGCGTCGCCGTGAAATCCAGTGCAATATGCCTTTCCTTTATCGTTACGACTGAGAAAGGTTTGAATGACCAGTAACCTGACAATGTCTCTCCAAACTGTCCGAGTGTTATTTTCTCTGTTAATTGCACCCACAACTTTGTTGCCATTGAAAGCCTTTCAGACGTGTGTAATGTGAGGGAATGGTGTTTACTATAGGATGGATCTAAATCTTCCCGTCAAAAATTTATGAATTGAGATACCCGTGTGAATCGACCAAACAAGAAACCATGAGTATTGAGTCAGCTCGAGCCCGAAAATGTTTCCCTATCAACATTTAGGAGCTTCTACAAAAAAGAATGACGTGTTATTGTGAGCTGGTAGTGCAGCAGATCGATCTAGTCGAGGCATTTGAGGTGAAACGAGGGTTATCTGATGGAACTTGCAACTCTTCTTGGAACAACTGTACCAACCTGTGTCACGGTTCACACGGGTAAATCTCTGAAGCACGTACAAGTTGAGAGTGACGCATTCGTGACCAGTAGGTGAGAAAACTGCTGAAACGTGTTTGAAAAATAGAGCATATTTCACCTCAGATTGAAAACACAACTGGTCCTGCAGGAGTTGCATATAAAACCAGAAATTACGGAAAAAATCCACAGATACAATGTCGCCACTAAAAGACACTTCAGTCAGCCTCTTACAAGCCCCAAGAATAGGTGGATCTTATACAAAATCCCTCTTCCACCGAAATCACTCCCTACTCCCTTCAGTGTGTTTGGGATCCTCGGCACTCGTCAGTCCGTGTAAAAATCAGCGATCTTCATTGTCTAGCAGAGCTGTCGACAGGAGTATGATAGTACCCTATGAGGCGTTATTTAACCCTTCGAAAGGGGGAGTTTGTGCTCAAGATGAGGATGACATCATCTAAAGAAGCGGAGCAAGGGTTCGTTCGAATTCCTGAAGTACTGTTGACTCAAATCTTTTAGAATCGGTGTTAAAGACATGGTTAAGTCCTCATACACAACACAACACGTGAAGAGGGTAAGCCAATGCTTTCAGATGACTGACGAATAAGGTGAAACCAAAAGTTAGGATATGGCTGCTGGATATTATCTGCGTCGAGTCAAATTTGGGTAGAACGGGGAGCTCTCAGAGCTGGGATTTGAAAAACCAACGGTAAGAGCACAACGGTTGAATAAACCGGGTCCAGTGTAATAACTAAACTCCCACGACAACCGAGTTCAATGAACTCTAAGCCAACATCCTGGCAGACGGCATAATTTCAATGAAAATGTCAGGTGACACACAGCTGTAGTAAGAGATAAACGAGAAAGAGTGGATCAAAAAGCAACTGGTTTCACATTAGTTACTCCGAAAGAAAGAAGTGGGGCCACATAAACGACCAAGAGAGAGTAGGCTTCGATAGACTCACTTTGTCTGCTGCCGCCAAAAGATCATGGGCCAACTTGTCCATGCCGACCACCTGCCCGGTGTAAATGTAACGAAGTACTTCAGCCAATGTGTCGGGTTCCATGTCTGTGATCTCCACTCGGTTGGCTCGTGATTCTTCCATCCCATGCTCGAACATGGCAGCAAACACGGGACTTCGTGCCGCCAGGATGGCTTTGTGAGCCTCGAACTGACGCAGAACTACGGTGTTCGATGTGGTTGCTGTGGCGTTGTTCGTGCTGCTGGTGGCATTGGATGCATTACACCCACAGAGGGAGTTTGTGCTCACTGCGTTCGAAGAAAACTGTCCTGTCGTAGACGTGGAAAACTTGCTAGGTTGTGCAGCGATCGCAGTCGAACTGGAAGGAGTGGGCGCCGCATGCGGAGCGGAAGTTGTGGTCGAAGATGCTGCTTTGGTTACTGTGGTTGTAGTGGGATTGGGCTCACGGGACGAACGGGTACGGGATGATCTATTGCTAGTTGGTGTTGTGGCACTGGTAGAGGCTGTGGTGTTTGTAGATGATGTGTTATTGTTGGCGGTGGTTCGTCTGCGATTACTGCGGCGAATTCGAGTGGATGTCTCAGCTTCGACCAAACCTTCGACGGGGTCCGGTTTCTCTTTGGAATGTACTGATGGATGTGGATGGAGACTTTGGGTGCAAGATGACGATCCGTTAGCCCCACTGCTACTGCCGACGAGGTCCGTCGGATTGGCTACGGCTGCGGGTACCAGTGTTGACTTGGATGATGCACTGGTAGTGGGTACGGTGGACGAAGTAGACGGAGTCGCGTTGGCCGAACGACAACAGCCACGGCAGCGCTGACCATCTGTATAGTGGGACCAACAAAACGTTTGATTATTCCTCTCAAAAACATGGTGAAAGTGGTAAACCAACATTTGACAGGGAGAGGCGAGATGAAAGGAACCATTAAAAACCTGCAATAGATGGATCCTTCCTTGTTACTCTGTGGCAAAGAAAGGTGGTCAGAGGGTTTTTTCTTACGAACAAGTCGTGCTTACCTGTACTGTCACACCCAATCACAATACCATACTGTGATACGATTCCAAATACACTGAATAACTGCGCTAGCAATGAAGAGCCGCCGCTGATATAAATTTACCGTCACTATGGATAAAAATAAATCTGAGACATGTTACATTGCGGAAGACCGTTAGACGCTGTGCTGGTCACTGCAGCCGTGTGTACCGTATTACGCCTGTGATCTGTCCTGAGCATTGTAGTTCCTGACCTAAAGCTGTCACCTTGTCGTGGTGGTCAGGCTTCTGTGCTACAATGATCCTGCGGGCTATAGTGGCTGAGACTCAGGTCCTAAAGTTTCAATCATGCCAGGAAGACCAACGGAGAGCAGTCCAACGAGGAACAGCGAATCCCCGTATTGCGAGTAACCGTATCACGAGGCAGTCTGGAGGTAAAGTCATACTGTCCTCTGCGATAAGAGTGTGAAGGCAGTAAAGCGTTTTCCCCAGGCGACCAGCATGTTCATATTTATGGAAGCAGTGATGCTGCCCTCTCGCGAGGAAGGACGGGTTAGAAAACGTCGGCCCCAAAAACCGCACACTCCGATCGCCCAACGGTTGACCGTGACTGCCGGCGCATTATTCAATACAGTCGAAATAGTCTTAAAACCAAGGAGCCCGGTGCTGCTCAAAAGGCAACTGCTGTGCACGGTCGCATCAGGAGTGAGACAGTAATGCCCTATTTCCTGCGCCATCAGACCAGACCGGCCCCCTACAGTCAGACTATTGAGTCATTGGCTCCGGGAACATGCCTTCGCCCCCAAGGCCTGGTTCTATGTTCCACTTTCCCGTTTTCCGGTGACCAAAACTGTAGCAGCTGGAACTAATGTACCTATGGCACACGGTTCATAGCTGATAAATTGAAATTGAACTGATGCAGCTTGATGCCTGCCAAGAAATTCGTTACCTGGATTGTTCGCTGTGGATCAGAATGAAACATGTAGTTTTGCTGCCGTCTAGGTTACATCCTGCTAGACATGCAGATTAAATGACTGTACCGCATCTGTTGCCCACGTCAGAGATTGGACATCCAAAGCTAATTGTGAAAAGCTCAGGTTATTTAAAGACAGCCGAATCAGTCTGTTTATATTAACGATAAAACGGCTGAGGTACACACATGCGATGGGTGTGTTAAGCTAGTTATGTGGGCCGACTGTAAACAATATGTTTAATGGAGTCCTCCGATCGGAGAAAAAGGAGAACAATACCGAATTCGATCAACCTAGGGTTAGTTAATAACACCATGTGCGCTTGAACTTGGCGTCGCCGTTTAATTGCCAATCAGGGACGTGGTCGTTTAGCGTCAGGTCCGTCGTCGTTCGTTCCCATTCGAACTGATACCCTAGTGTGACTGGAGGATTTCTCACTTCGCTAAGAACGTATCGTTCATCTGGTAGCACCCTTTCGGTGCCTAACTGCCATGCCAGCCGAAAGAAGCACGAGGGCTTGGATACTACCAGGTTGCCCAAGCCTAGACAGGGGAAGTCGAGAGGCAGAAGTCGGGTTCGAACCACCGACCTTCCGGCCAGTAAATTCACGCTTTAACCACTTGAGTCATCTCACCCCTGAGCGCCGATGGCGTATTTTCCCCAGCTGCGTAAATATGGCACTGACGAGATGAGTAAGGCAATGATAATAGCACTAAGAATCAGGACATCAAGAATGCACCGATTACCGGCCCTTCTGCATATAGTCTTTGAAGGACCGTTGACATTAAACCCTTGAAGAATTGTTCTACGACTTCCCTTCCAGTTGTATAGAGAATCATGGAGAAGGATGTGCCATCTCCCCACGGCTATCTTTGCCATGACCCGTCTAGTGTGCCTGTAAGATACATCGCAGTACCCTTGATGCTGAAGCTTCCTTTGTTCATTTCACCGCCTTGTCCTAGAATAAGGTTAGACGTGTCTGTCTTGATTTTTTCCCGGCGTCTCGCCGAAGAAAAACAACTCTCTACGTAGACTCCACACTAAAGGTTGCCGCTTCTTTTCAGGTATTACAACACTCCGCTATCTAGCCTCGATCAGACACTGGCCATTCACTTGATTTACTCCTCTTCTTATCCGAGCCTACGAAGTAAACGCATTAAGTAGGCTGAAAGGACAGTTTCATGTTGTTCGGTTATTTGTTCCCGCATGAATGATTATACAGAACAACCCTTGAATGTAAGTATTCATATGCTGATAATAGCTCTTCTAAATACCCACCTTCATTTGGATAGCTCGCCTTGGAACAAACTCTTTAAAGTTGAAAAACCCTTCTCTTTCATGGGAAAGAGTTGACTAGCTTCATACACCTATGTACAAGTGTACTGCTCATCCTATACTCACCATATTTCAGGGATTTTTTTTACCGCCTTACGGTGTTCTACTTGGTAACTGTTTGCAGCTGACCACTTTGGTGATCAGGGTGGGATGATATTGTCATACAGAGAGGAACAGTTGAATAATAAACCTACCTAGTTTAATAAACCTAGTTGAATAAACCTACCTATCCATCTGGAAAAATTCCTGTCAACGTTAGGACTTGCCAACATTATTGTTGGACCTGGTCAGTGAGACTACTATAGGTAATACACATATTCGACCTCGACGAAGACTCGCTAATCTCGTGATAAGACGGATGAGGGAACCCGATGATGAACTTATCCGATGACTAGCGAAGTAAAACCTTGAGCAGACTATTCAAAACCCAGGAAGGGAGAGAAATCGCTTGACAAATTTCCGGGCTATTTGCCAAAGCCTTGTATTTGGTGTTCTCATCTTCCATTCCAATTGAGTACATCATCACTACCATCATCATCGACATCCCCATCTTCAGCTGTAAAAATCGCACACATTTTGAACAGGGATTATAGGTGCCACAGTTTCGCTAGGCGATGGTCTGGTGAGGTGGGGCTAGATAACTAAGCATTGGTAGCGATAACTTGTATAATTGATGCATGAATCCAGGAATGTCAGTGGACTTTTCATTGGGGAAATCGGGAGGGAAAGCTGATTAAACCAGTATGAAGACTGGGAATTAAGGATGGAGGAAAGTCGGGGCCTATGTGTGCCTCAAGAATGGAAAATCCGGTGGCGGGATGTCGCAGCCTTTTCATTAACCTTGAATAGTGTGTTCTCCCAAGAAAATAGTACGCAGAGCGCTTTTTAAGGTTCGGTTTATTCAAAAATACAACTGTGTATCTAGTCTGGAAGTTCAAACTGGGCAATCGTTACGGGACAAGTGGGAATAGTATAGATCCGTTCCATCGTAAAACCCTAGATTAAGGTCTTGGAGAGTGGCCTCTTCCTGGTTTAAGGCGGGCCACCAGACCTAGCCCATCATAATACTTCTGCCCACTCCTACTCAATCTTATGTATCACCGTCCGATGAAATGCAGCCAAAGGCTCTAAGAGTATACTGGTCTGAAGAGTCTTCAATCGTACGACGCGACGGTTTGAACATGAAAATCGAATTCATAACCATAGATCGCATGTCACTGGGGTTGCCACAGGGACATAGATCGCGATAGTGTTAGGAAGGAATCCATATGGATCCCGCTATACCGCACGTCTTCAGGCGCGGCTACGGCCGATAAGCCTAGCCCGCACGAGACTGGCCAAGAGTTCGGGACGCTTGCCGGTCCAGCATCAAGACGAGATCTGATTGGTCGAGAATCTGGACTCAACAGCCAATCATGACCCATTATTGGCCAAATGCCGGTTGCCAATGGCGCATCCAGAACGCGTCAGAAATTCCAGAACGTTATAACCGCCTACGCCATATATACGAAGCGCTGTACAACTAGTCCTGACTTCGTTTTGGGCATTAATAGACCTTGTGCACCTTTCGTGGTTGTTTCGACGTGAACGTAGGCTCAGACCGAGAACTAAGCTGAGGAAAATACCGTTACTACAAATAGAACTACTAACGAAGAAGTCATAAAAAGCAGCACATTTCTCTATGACCAGATGGAAGTGTGAGTCTACAGCAGAGTAGTTAATTCAGTCAACTAGTTCATTATACCGGTGCAAAGGTTGGGGATCAGTTCTTCATGAATCCAGATATCGAATTCTCAGTCAGGCTAGGGGTCCTACATGAAACAAAAACAGTCAGACTGGCGGTTCCTTGGGATGCTTCTGGTGTACAGTCACGAAAACAGCGGCAGCAGATTAGGTGAGTAGCTACTTGATTACACGTTTAAGAGACGAAGGTTCGGAGTGCTGCTTTTTGAGAACATGGATACCACTCACGAGAAGAAACACCTCTCGAGTTGGAAGGAAAACAGAATGGGAAAATCATAACGCTATATACAGAAAACTTGTCAGGCCCACCTTTAGCATTGCTTGATCCCGCTTTGCTACAAGTGTCACAACTCGTGTCCGACTTCATTTCACGTTCATCCGTGGAAAGAACGGATTGACCGGGTGTTGCGCTGTTAGATGAGGACGGAGTCGTAAATCGCCAGTCTCCATTGATCGGAGTACTGACCACGGGGGTTGCTGAGGCGTTGGAAGCTGAAGAGACGCTGAGAGGATCCAGGTGAGGTTCGAGCAGCGTTTGGGCGGCAGGGGAAAACCCCACAGGTGTTTGAGAGGTCGGATTGAGGGGAATAATTACCCCTTTCGTCGGTACAACAATCGTGGTAGTCGCTGGTGCTAGGGTCAGAGAGGATGGCTTCAAACAGGTGACTTGGATAGGATGAACAACGGGAGCTGAGTTCGCTGACGAGCCCGGAGTTTCGCTAGCACCAGACCCACGAGACGCAGCCGCTTCTGCTTCACCTCGATCCGCGGGCACCACATTCTGATAGCTTGGCTGACTGGCGTCATCGGGGACGCAGGAAATCCTATTTTGTCTGTACGGAACCGGTTGTGAGTCTTCTTCCCGTTCGCTATCATTCCCCTCTTGTTCTTCATCGTCTTCATCCTCTTCGTCGAACTCATCGGCCTCCTCAACCTCGTCTTGTTCCTCCTCTTCTTCCTCCTCCTCGTCTTCCTCTCCTGCCGATTCAAATTGTGGGTACTTCTTCACCTGATCAGACCGTGCTAGTGCGTAGCTAGAGCCAGAACCATGAGTCAGGGCGTTTGGAGTCTGACATTTGCTAGAACAGGCACTGTCCGTGTTCGAAACGACAACCAGAGTGACGTCGGTGAGGAGCTGTTTGAATAGGAGGCTACCAATATCCTCGTGTAGATTGCATTCTGGTACTGAGATGGGTTGGTTGTTAACCTGACCGCTTTCCGACAGGGTCTCACCGACGACAGATACCTGAAATGTGTGTTTATGGAAGGGCGAGGTAGTGGGTGTAATTGGGTATGGATATGAGCAGGTCGAATTGTTTGTTTAAAATTAATCGTACCCGGTGTGCAAAAAAACTGGTAAAAATAGATTAAACTACAGGGATTACCTTGGACGAACACTATTTACAATATCGCTGAAAACTCTTCGAACGTCCACGACCGGTTTCGAGACTTTATTCTGACTCATCAAGTAGGCCCCCAAGAAGGGCAAAACTGGTCGTTGGTTGCTGAAGAGACTTCAACAACCTTGTGAGTAGTACTCCTACAAGAAAACATAGTGCATAATCTCGAATGGGTATGGATATGAGCAGGTCGAATTGTTTGTTTAAAATTAATCGTACCCGGTGTGCAAAAAAACTGGTAAAAATAGATTAAACTACAGGGATTACCTTGGACGAACACTATTTACAATATCGCTGAAAACTCTTCGAACGTCCACGACCGGTTTCGAGACTTTATTCTGACTCATCAAGTAGGCCCCCAAGAAGGGCAAAACTGGTCGTTGGTTGCTGAAGAGACTTCAACAACCTTGTGAGTAGTACTCCTACAAGAAAACATAGTGCATAATCTCGAATATCGCGCCAATCGAAGCACGAGGTGGGCTTTGTGCCTTACACTCAGTCGAAGAATGGCACAAAGGCGAGATTCAGCTGGATCTCCCGTTAAAACCAAATTAGCTTTGACCGCATCTCGCGTACCTTTAGCGGGAACAACTGACACAATAATAGTTCGATGAAAAATCAACTGATGCGGATAGCGGTCACAATGGGGTGTTTTAGTCCATCGAACTGTCAAAACAATACCTATATCGTCTAGGTAGACTATAAAGACCGCACTGTTCAACTGACAAAAACACCAGGGACTGCGACTGACCTTATTCAGTAGTAAAAGTGGAACGAAGCTGACATGCCTGTGAGACAGCTTTCACAAAACGCATCGACCCGGTACCGATCGGCAGTTTCAGTCAGAACTTAACTACTCGGTCAAATAACAACTCTATTAGGAGGAAAACGGTGTTCACGCAATAATCCTCAACTTCGAGTAATTCGGAAAATCGTTATGCCTCAGTAGGCTGTGTTCAAAAAGCCGAGTCGGTTGGGCAAATAAGACTAACCAGAAACAGAATTTGAAATAACGGCATCCTTTTAGTACCAGGAGAGAGCAATTTGACAATGGTGGCAGCAGGGGAACCCATGAATTGACGTATCTAAGCACACGCACGGTCAGCCGGCTGATCACAACTATGGGTCTCGATAAACCGATACACTACCCCTCCATCCACTCAAGGAAACAACTACCATCCATAACAGAAGAGGAGATACTTTTTGATTCAGGTGCACCTCCAGGGAATATCAAAATATCCCAACGACAGATATGTTAGTCGTGAGAGAATGAGTGGGTTCTTCAGACAGTTTTTGTGAGCATGCGAGGAGACGCTTTATATCGTCTGCGAAGGAAACCCAACCTAATCGATCCGACCGAAGTGCACTAGTGGTTATGAACATTGGTCACAAGGAACGAGGAATTACGGTGTCATCTTGACAAACTCCAAGAAAATGACAAAATGAGCAAATATGACATGAATACAACAACGAAAGCAATGACGGCTGTTAAAACTTCAATAAATTCCGAGTTATCAGGCGTTTTCGTATCCTTTCTCGTTAGCCGCACCTCAACTGTAATATACTACAAGAGGTGTGCTAGGCTGAACTACGGCGACAACAGACCAGTGAACGTGGGAAATCTGAGGCACTGGTCTGTCTAAATGGAATTTCCAGTGAACGTGGGAAATCTGAGGCACTGGGTTCCTCTTATCCATTTACTTAGCACAAGCAGAAGGCTCTGTCTAAATGGAATTAAATCAATCTGCTGCTAGCTTCTTATGGTAGCTGGGAGATGGTGGGTCCGACCCCTGTAGCGATACATGAGGTACGCGCCGCTGAGGATACTCAACAAGGAGGAAGCAGCTGTGAATATCACTGTGTGTGAATATCACAAAAGACAGTAGAAGGAACGTATGGTGGGTTGCTAACATTTCTTTAGTTCTCCTCAGCCGCGAGAAGTAAATTATGCACGTTATACATAAGGAAGCTCTAGAAACAAATGTGATGAATAAACAGGAAACGGCTAAAAAAAGACATGATTAAAGCTACAAGAGTCAGACATTGGACTTTAGGACATTCTGTGCAAATTGTAATGGCTGGTTATCTCTTAAGACTGGCATTGGGCTAGGTCACGGTTTTATCTCCGGCCGTTTTTGGGTCAACTGCGCTGCTGCTCTCAGGACGCACCGTGGTGTGCGTTCAATCACACGTGACGACAGATGTCGATAGGTGATCTCTGCAACCGCAAGAGACCTGGTGTGCTGGCATGAGTGTTAATGAATTTTGGCTGCCCAAACAAAAACTTGGGGCGCCCTATTTATAAAGGAGGATACTCTTAAAGTTCCGTGATTTATAATGTGTCCCTCTATATTGGAGATGACAGTGCCAGAAATTCCATTTTCGGTCTAAAGACTAAGGACACCACTTTCCTTGGATGCCTCTACCATTCGCTCGTAAACACCTACTGGAGACTACCGACCAGATATGCGACCAATGAACATATCATGGTCAGACTTAACGAACTACACCTGACCTTTACCGGGAGGCTAACTTCCTTTTCTAGTGACCGCTCTTGAAGTGCACGCTACTTCGACAGGACAAGGAAATCGTTCAGGCTGGCAAAAGTCGTTACACTTGCAAGTATCAGTTCGGTCGGGGCACCGAATAAATGTTGACACCATAATGTACCATGTTGAGCCCGGACTACCACACCAAACCAGATATCGAATGCACTGTACAGCGGAGGCGATTGCGATCCACCCATATAGGCCAGATGGTGCATGCCGAAACACCTTGAACGATTCCAGGTATTAGGCTGGCTGACATACACGCTTCACACACGTGATTCATGTACCACCACAACTCTAGCGGTCCGATGGAACACGTGACCACAGTTCCGTTGGTCATTTGACGTTGGTGACTCACACGTTGATGGAACGCGCGCAATTTCAATCGCATATATTGGTTGATACTGTAGTATACGGTGTCTGTCCGTTTGATTGATTCATATGTAAGTATTGGTGATGTACAACCTTGCTTACTGGGCTTTGGCTCATGAGCTTTGTTTCTGTTTTCCATCCACAGAAATTGTCGCGAACACCTGCCTTCGGAGAATCACTGTCCCCTGGTGCTTCCATAGCGTGCATATTACAATACTGATTTTGCAGAAAGGGTATAAATCCACAGTCCAGATACTTCACACACTACTGATGCCGCACTTCAATTTCACAGAGGTGCTAGCGCTACTTTAATGAGTCACAAACAAAGCTTTGTAATTTCGGACATTTACAAATGCCATGTCAAAAATCCTCAAGAGATTGGCATGAGACGGGTTTAAAGCACGACACCAATGTAGGACATGAACAAGGAGGTCATATACACGACTGCAACACTGTCAATTGGAGGCCCGACTACGAATCAATGGAGGTTCTTGCATAATTCAATGCAGCAATGCAGGAACCAGGTGAACGCCACTCACTGTCACAAATAATCCTTCAGCGGATTAGTCAACGTATCCCAAACTGAGTTAGCTTCTGTTGACTGGTTTCCACCACGTTGGACCACCACCACCACCACCCTGAATTGAGACCATTTCAATTTGGGCCCATGAGATTACCTTCGAAATTAATGCACCTTAGGAGGCCTCCTGCTCCACACCTCTAAAAAAAGATCACTCTAAATATCTTCGTGGTGCATGCGTCACTCAAGATCTGATGCAACTTCATTTGGATCGCCTACCAGAATCAACCCCGACGTTGAGAATTTCACACAAAGTTTCTCAACATACCCAATGTGTCCAGTCACATTCAGAGACCCAGTTTCAAGTAGAACATAAGGTTGACGGAAACCCGGGGACTGCGCCTATCTGATGAGCCCCAAAAAGGGCGAAACCGGTCGTGGGCTGGCGACAGATTTTCAGCAACCTTATGAGTGGTACAGTACAAACATGAAGCCTACTAATTTGTAACGATATGGTGCACAGTCACATACCACCTGACAAATATCCGGCATTTCAGCTCACTCCGCAGCTCTGATGAGTCACTGAATAAATTTCTCACCGGTGTGCAACTTGAGTTTACTTTGGATATTGACAAACTCCTCCTCGTTATTAGCTCTTGGAAAAGATATGTAGTGCGGTGATCGACGTCGTTTCCTTTCATTAATGTTCGCCACATTTCCATTCCATTCATGAATCTGCGACTGACATTTTCTGTAGGATCCTCAAGCAGGTATATGTGGGCGCGTAACTGCGCTATCAACCAAGAGACAACAACAATAACCGTTACACCTTTTCAGCGCCCGAAGGAGGCACGAGGGCTTAGATAATGCTAGGTTGCCCAAGCCTAGACAAGAACAGTCGAGATGCGGACCTTCTAGTTAATAAGTTCGCGCCCCAACCACTAAGCGCATTCCAATCTATGCACACTCCGTCTGGCTTCACACACTTTCCGCATATTCGGTTCGTTTTTTTGTTTCCGAGACTTCGGGTCTGTTCATCGAAAGACAATTAAAACAGCTGCAACAATGAAGCCATATTTCACACGACAAACCTGATCAGTTGTCGTTGTGAGTACCCACACAGATACAAACGTGGTAGAAAATGAATGTGACAACTTGAGGTAGCAAGAAATCGATGTCAAAACCCGAGTTTTCAACTTGCTGTACAGGGAGCGCATTTGTTTTTTTCTTCCGGAAACAGATGGTTTTCTTTTGAGAAGAAACTATATTAAACCTTCCGATTGACTGGATATAACCCAAACATGAAATAAACTTGCCTTGGAATCTATGTTAAACGGACAAAAATGGTTTTATCAACCGCAGTCTTCCATAATACTCTCTCAGTAGTGCTCACCTTATTTAGTTT